TGCAGCCAGCGGGGGGCTGGGGGTGGGTGCTCTGCTTTCTTCGTGCCGTGCCCAGCACTGTGAAGGTGAGCGGGGCTGGGGGGACATTGCGTTGCATTGAGCGCTGCCTTGCATGGCATGAAACATCCCGGGAAACATTGCATTGCATTGTATTGCATTGCATGCGACGTCTCATTGCATTGCATAGTGTTGCATTGCATGGTGTTGTGCTGCCCCGTGGCACTGCTGGGAGGCAAGGTCACGGCCACGCGGGGCTCCCTGGTGAAGGTCGCACCTTCCCCCCCCCCCCCCCCTTTGTGCTGGGCCCCAGGGAGGGACACCGCCTCCCCCTGGGCACAAAGCAGCTGGAGGCCTGGGCTGACGGGGCCTCCCCCTGCGCTTGGCTGGGCTGCACAGGGGCTGCCTGCAAAGCAGAGGGCGTGGAGCCAGCCCCTTCCCGGGCTCTGTGCCCTCGTCCCCAGCCTCCCCCTGGCAGGCGGTGTCAGTCCCGCGGCTGCAGCGCTGGTCCCTGTGAAGCCGTTGCGCGCAGGTCGCTCCTCCTCGCTCGACTACAAAGCGGAGATGCAGCCTCCCGTCTTCCCCTTCGGGCTGTCTGTGGCTCTCCTGCCTGAGGCTGGAGGGGTTTCTCACCATAGTGCCGGCATGGAGGGGTGGGCACTGATCCTGTAAAACGCCCCCCCCCCCCGCGCTGAATCGCATCCAGCGGCGTCAAACGCACGCTGGACGGTGGCGGCTGGGCTCTGTTAAGCAGGGCAGCTAAAAATGTGTAGCGGAAAAGTCTCCAAAGAGCAAAGCATTGGAGGCTCGGAGCCATCAGGCCCTGCTCTTATGTAACTGGCTTGTGGATAGCCGGCTCCTTTCATTGCTGTAACAAAGCTGCTCCTCCAGTTTTTTGGGAAGCATCACTGGAGTGGGTTTTGCTCCTTCATGGGGAAACATGTGCAGTCTGTACCCCAAAAAAAAAAACATAGTGCTTTTTGGTTTTTTTGAGCTGTACTACCAGTGTCGAGCGCCGTGGCACTGTGAGCCTCACTTGATGCTCTCCAAAGAGGTGGTATTGAAGCTTTGGGGTGACGGTGACATTTTTAGCTCTGAAGATGCCTAGAAATAACTCTTCAGATGCCCTTTTAGGTGAATCCCCTCATCTTAAACCCAGTCTTCTGTTCCTCGCTTCGCCAAAATAATGGTGGAGAGCTGAGTCTGAAGTGGGCGGTACGCTAGTGGCACTAGATGGGGTTGTGTATCGCCTGGGTGGCATATCACGATGACTAATAAACCTGAGGCTTTCCCTTGAACTTGCAGGCTTGCTCCAGCAAGCGCATGGGGAGCAGGGCTGTAGATTTGGAGCTGTTCAGCAGCAACTCTTTCTAGCCCAGTTGGATCAAATGCATGTGAGCAGCCTCGGTGATTGGGGGGGCTCAACCGAAATGCCCGTGCATGGTATGCGCTGGTTAAACGGCTCGTTCCAGCCGGCCACGGTCCAGGCTGCTTGAAGGCTGGGATGGGATGAGCAGGCAGTGACTGTTCTAGAACAGGGCTGGCTCCTGGGGGAGGAGGGGAAGGGCAGAGGAGATGACAAGCCAAGAAAATGGCCTCTTTCCGGGGAATAAGTCTGCAGTCCTCTCTGCTAGCCCAGCTTTGTCTGCAACCCAGAAGCAGAAGAAGCTTTGCCGGCATAGGCAGCAAAAGCCAACACTCCACGGTGCATATAATGAGAGGTAAAGCAGCCCCCAAACTGCTTTGGTTCAGGTCAGAAATACGTGCAAACGTGACTTGCAAAACGTGACTCAAGCTGGAGTGAAACACTGCCCCTGTTGCCGTATCCATTTGACATGCGTACTTGGAATGGGTGTGGAGGCGAGCGTAGTCCAGGGGGCTGCTGTCTCGTACGGCCGTGTGAATGGATCCTTTCCAGTCTTTGGATAAGGGTGGGAAAGCAAGCTTGGCTGTAGCTGCCGCTTGCTGCTATAATTCGAGACTAGAATAAATCTGCATAGGATTAGGTTAAAACTCTTCTTTGATGCAGGTGATACGTGGCTATTTGTCGTTCAATCTCGTAGTACTTCAGCCGGTAGCTCGCTCCACTGCAGTCTTCCAGGAATGTACTAGCAGTCTAGGATTGCTGTGCAGTGTGCCAGCGTCCAGATCCTGGACAAAGCGGCACGGGGTGTAAACCTACCATCTAAGACAGTGAGGGCCAGCCTTTTTGGTGGGTGTGTCGCAAGTTAGCCCTGCACCTTTCCCTGAATGTCCTTACCTGATCTGATGCTCTGCTTTCTGGTCCCTGCCCTGTCTGCTTCTGTGCTGCCTGCCCCTGCCCCAATCTGCTGCGTGTTGCACACCCTGGCTGCTGAAACCACTTGTAGTACCCATGTTGCAGGTTGCCCACTCCTGATCTAAGCCACTAGCTCTCTCCCAAATGGCATCTAGTGCATCTCATAACAAACTGTAATTCCCATGCGAGTCTCAGTGCTGTGTGTTCTGCCCTAGGTTCACGATGTCTGACAGAAAGGCTGTGATCAAGAATGCGGACATGTCCGAGGACATGCAGCAGGATGCTGTAGACTGTGCCACGCAGGCCATGGAGAAGTACAACATAGAGAAAGACATAGCAGCATATATAAAGAAGGTATCGTGCCACTACAAGATGACCTGGTCGTGTTGCAGCTAACTCTCTTAGCTACTTAGCCCTTGCCACTGGTATCGGTACCTTGCAATCGCCAGCTTCCCATCCTTGCAAGCTGTTGAGAGATGCTGTTTAATCTCATTTTACGGATGGGAGCTGAGGGACTAAGGGACATGATCAAGGTCAGGCAGGAAGGCTGTGGCAGTTTCTGCTGCTTTGTCAAGTGCTAGGCTGGCACGAGATGCTGGTCCTTCCTGACACTAGCCTGAAGGGAGGCTGCAGCTGGCTGTCCACTGTGAATGAGTTGTACTTGTGCATTGTTGGAGAGCAACTTAATTCAAACCCTGTGTGCTGACTAGCTGGAAGTTGGTAACCTGCGTTCTCAGATGGCATTCCCTTGCACTGCTTGGCTCTTCTGCGCTAAACCATTGATACAGTGCCATTTGCCTGTTGCTGCCTTCTTAAAGCTGCCTCTTCTCAGTGTCCTGGGTTCTGATTCAGGTCCCTAGAGCTTTGGGTTGATGCACCAGTGTCAGCATCCCAGTGTAGTCTGCATCACTTCACCCAGCAATATTTCAGGGCACTTTAGATTATAACCCTAGTTTGCCATGTCCCTTGGATAACATTTTACATGCAGTTAGTTTGTATGGGGGGGTGGAGTCTCAGACAAGGAAAGAGCACTTGGAAGAACATACCTCTTGAAGGGCAAAAACTGATTGTACCTGGAACTAGTTTGGCTCCATCATAATCTAAAAGTAGAGCCATTCAAGGCTTGAAGGTTATCCATCTTAAAACCTGACCTTTCTAGGTCCAAAACGGTCTGATGTGGGTGCTCCACTCCAAAATGGGATGCAAAAATAAGTAACTAGTGTCTTGTTGGATGCTGACTTTCTTTTCTCTTTGCTGCATATTCTGTTCTGTTGGAAGGCAGGTGTGGTACTTTTTCTTCCTGCTGTAAAAGTTACCCGCAGGGGATTTAAACTGTGTCTCTGTCTTGCTGGTCTGTATAAGATTCAATCTGAGGCTTTCTAGCTTGGCTTCCTGCTTGCTTGTTAACCTGTTGATTTGATACTGGAAATGTTGAATGTTTCCTGAGTTCCAATTTTTGGGGGGGGTGGGGATTGATCTTGAGAGAGGGGGTAAGGGTAAGAGGTTTGAATTTCTAATGACCCCATCTCAGTTCAGAAGGGATAAATTTGGGTCTCAACAAGAAGCAACCACTTCAAGTACCCAGGTTCAGGCCTCATTCTTGCCAGGGCAGACAATGAGTGTTCTTGTCTGTGTACATTAGGAACTCTTCTATCGCAGGCCTCCAGGAATTCATGGCAAAAAAAGCCAGAACAGCAGATGCTTGACTCCTTGCTTGTCAGGCAACCTTTAAGCTCTAATGCCTTGCTAGGACAAGCACCACAGAGACTTTTGTTTCTGTGCGTGGGCTTGGAATGGGAATGGATAAGTATTGCATGGACCCAGCCTACACGTGCGGCTCAAATACGACTGGGATGCTTGAAGTCTGCTACTCTGAAAATGTGTGAGAATCCATTTAAAGAGGACTCCTCCTGTCATAAGACCCCTTTCACACACTTGTAGTCTGTCCCACTTAGCACATGCTTTTGAAGCTATGGCATCTTGCAGTAGGGAAATCCTAACTGAGAGGTAGATACCGACAAACGCCTCCAACATACGCAGCTAAGAATGTGTTTTGAGCTACTTTGGTTCTGGGTTTTCCTAACTGCTGTACTCCTTTTTTTTTTTTCCCTTTCTCTCTCTCTCTCTTTTTTTTTTTCTCTAGGAATTTGACAAGAAATACAACCCAACTTGGCACTGCATTGTTGGCAGAAACTTTGGCAGCTATGTAACACACGAGACAAAGCACTTCATCTATTTTTACTTGGGTCAGGTTGCAATCCTTCTCTTCAAGTCTGGATAGGAAGCAGGAGCAAGCAAAGTTTGGACTGTAATGCACTGATGGCTGAAGCCAAGATTCCCTTTAACATGGCTGTGCCGCTGCATGGACTGTATACTCTATTTAATGTGTATATGTTGCAGTAAAAATCTACTTCTGTTTAGTTGCCTGGGAAGAAGGCGGCGTTTTTTCTTTTTTTCTTTTTCTTTTTTGGGGTTGTTTTTTGGTTTTGGGGGGGGGGGTTTTGGTTGTATTGCACTAGGAAAACTGTAAATGCTTAAACAATGGCCTTTAAGTGGGAAGAAATAAAACTATTCCACAACAGCTCCCTCAGTGGTAACTTCTTCTTTGGTAAGACTGGGGAACTTCTTTTATATTTGGCAGACCAAAAAGCCCCTGTTGTGAGTTCAAGCAGCCTAACACAAAGGAGGAACACAAGTGCTCCTTTCCAGTGATAGTCTGGAGGGTAGGTGTGGAGGCTGTAAGAAGCTGGCTTTCTTTAAAGGCTCAGTGGTGAAAGGGGAAGAAGGTAGTGCGGTGGCTCTTGTTCAGTAAGGCTCTAATCCAAACAATTGCCACATCAGGACTGTGTGTTTTTAGTACTGAAAGCCAGTCCTTGATGTTCTCTGCAAAAAAGAATGTCCACAGCCACAATCTTGGATTGGGCCTAAAACAGATCTGAGATCCCCACCTTTGTATTAAGTAGTTACCTTTTGTGGGAGGATGTCCTCTGGCCTCAGCTTTGTGTTAGTAATCCTGATCTCTTAGTGGGTGCGACCTAACGCTGGCCAGCTGATCTATCCCGAAATTGATGATGGCTGACAGCAGGCAACCTGAACAGTTTGATTTGGCGTGTCCTTATCAAGTTGTCTCAACACTGCCTTAACTCAAATCTCTCCTAAATCCTCTCTCCTAAAGGGAAGGAGTCCCCGTAATCCTATGGAAGACCTGTAGATAGCCACTGTCTTTCCATGGTAGCTGTTGGAGACGGTGCTCTGTGAATAGCTCTTCTGTTCTGATTTGCATCTTCTTGAGCACAGTAGCGAGTTCAGATTACGTGCGCTGCTGTGCAAAAGAAATAACATCTGCTTTAAAGGCAGGAAAATGTTTTGGTCTCCAGTGGTCTCAGCGGTGTTGTCTTAGTGTGTAGTGACTCTTCCATCGCAGGAAGCCCCTCTCTTTTTGGGTTGTCACAAAAGGTTAAAAAAACAAAATACTGTGGCTTCAGCAGACTTTCTGGTGCTTGCAGCAAGATCCTATTTATTGGTTGCTAATGTAAGCGAAACTCCAGACTGGAGCAAACTCAGTTTTAGGGCTAGCGATTCCTAACTAGTTCAAGATGAACTTGGCTCGTGGAAAGTAACATGCCATGCTTTTGTTTTAGTGCTTTTCTTGGGGGAGGGGAAGAGGGTAGCTGTTTTAATTGTGAAATGACTCGATGACCCAGGCTGACTGCTTCCCGAAGTAAAAGTCCTTCTCGTCTCTGTAGACTGTGCAAAATCCAAAGTATGCCTAATTTTGTAATATTGATAGAATCATGTTGTAACTAGAAAGAATGTAGTTGTCAACTTATTTCATGTTGATGGAAATCTCCCGGTCTGGGGGGGCAATGTGCCTTGGAGTAACTGGGGCACTCCAGTGGTCTTGTCTATTCAACTCCACTCTTCATAGAAAAAGGAAAAGGTTTTGGTTCTTTCTATTATTATTATTTTTTTTCCAAGCATGAGTCTAATGTGATGAGCCTGTTCACGGTCTCTTGTGGAGCAAGATGTTCCCTTCATAACTGCAATTGCTCAAAGTACCATTTTTTTTTTTTAATTTTATTTTTTTTTATTTTTCCAAACATTAAAGGTGAATTGACACATTTAAACAGCTTCTAGTTTCTTCTTCATGCTAGACTGGTAAAGGAAACGGTGACAATGGATGAAGGGCATGGCATTTGGGATGGAAGGCCCCCATGGTCTACGGGGGGGAAGGATCTGCAATGGGTACTGCAATGCTAACTGATGTAACTTCCTGCTCTTGAGCACCCGGTTTTCCAGTTCACCAGGTTTGACCTTAATGGTGTCTCACCAAAGTAAGAACTGTTAAGCCAGATTCCTACTGACAGCACTAGCCTGGGAGGATCTTCACCCAACACCTTGCAGCTGCTAACAGGAAAGTCTTTGGCCCGTGGTTTCTGGTTCTGGGCGGGGGGCGGTCCATACTGCAGCACCTACATGACCTACCCTTGCTTCCCGTATGTGATCAGGCAGCATGCCTGTAGCACTCATGTCTTGTAAGCCCTTCCTGCATCTTCAGGCTTAGAAGCGAGGAGAAGCAGCACTCTGGAGTACAAGCAGGCCCGTGGGCTCTCGTTTGAGGAGCCTCCTCAAATGATTGCTTGACATGCTGGAGGAGGAGGAGTGGGGGGGGACAAGAACGAATGCAGTAACGTGACTGCCATGACACAGCAGCAATCCATGCCTCACCAGATGGAGTGGTTAAAAGCAGAAGTGGTTTCTAGCTTCCACGAGCTAAAAATGAGACCATGTTCTCAACTACATCAGCCACTTGCTTCTGGAGTAGGCTTGGATCTCAGCTCTCAGTGGTGTGGCTTTAAAGGGCAGCTCCATGGCTATGGAGCCTCGCCTGTGCATCAAAATATGACTGTCCCAAATGTGCACACTAATAAGGCTTGTCTGACTGCTTGGCGTTCCTGCATCCTGCCCCATGCGTGGGGAAGGACATTGCTACAGATGGCTGAGGGCTTTGGATCAGGAGGAGGTAGTGGACTTGATGGGAGAGAGCTGAGAGGGGGTATCTTGTTCCCATGCCCTCCGGGATCAGATCTTTGACCTGCAGGGCAGGCTCTGGTCCTTCCCATCTTCAGCTTTCATTTTAAAGGGACTGAAAATGCACATCACACCTGGGTTTGTGAGGGGTGGAGGCTCCAAGCCTCCACATGTCACAAGGCATTTCCCATAGAGCCAGCTGATACTACTTTCTGGCTCAGTGCTGGGCATCTCTGGTTTCCACTGACTCACTCTGAGCCCTAAATGTCAACATCTAACTACTTTGGCACTAACTGGTTTAATAGGTTTCAGTAAGAGGTAAATGTCTTCAAAGATTTGGCTTTCACTCCAAAAATGGTATGAAAACAGGTAGGTTTGGGGGTGGGGAGTGCAGGGAAACGACTGGAAAAGGAAATCTGTTTTCAGATGCATCTGGGCAAAAAAGTCACTTTAAATGCAAATCACCATGTCTTTTCTGTTTTAGTTTGAGTACTTTAAAAAATGCTTAATCCTCACAGGCTGAAATAGTGGGTGTGAATATTTGTATGCTGGCATTCAAGCACAGGCATGTTTCTTCAGTTGGCAAGGTAAGAATATGTAATACTTTACCAGGCACAGAAGAACCAGGGGTTTCTTCTATAAGTTGCTCTCCAAAAGCAACATTTTGTTAAAGCACAAAGGGGCTGCTAATACACGTCACAGCTGAGCTCAGGGTTTCTTTTTTAGGTGGGGAGGCTAGAGGAATGAGGGAAGGCGCATCTAACCTCGCGCAGAAAGCAAGACCAGTTGTCCGACTGAATGGCTTGCACTTGGAAGTGACGTCTCTTTTCCAAACCTGTGACCTGTGCTGAACTTGGAGAAATTACACATTCCCTAGCCTCAGACTTTGCATTCTTAATTAACCATGGGCCAATGCTCTGGTGCTCTTAATTGGAATCACTAACTACTTCCAGTATTAAGGGCTGACCTGCCCTACCCTTACAGGCCAGATTCATCAAGGGCCTGTTGACTCCAGAAAGGTTGTTTGTGGCTTAGGATAATTGCTCAATCTAGGTAAGAGCATGGCTGGTTTGCCTTTCCAGACCCAAGTTCTTTGGTAACACGGATATATTTTAAACTTAGCCAAATTGACTGATACTAAAAAACCAGCACTGGCACTTCAGGTGGGTGGCAGGAGCCCATGGCTATAGTGCACCCTTCTTAAGAAGACCTTTACTTCCGTGATTGTGCTGGGCAGACTTGCCCTCTTTTTTTTTTTCTCACTACATCTGGGGAGGAAGGAGAGGCATGGAAAGTTTCCCTGCTTTAGAAACTTTTTGGCAACCTGAATCTACTTGCCCCTGGGGCAGGGGGCTGGACTTGAAGATCTTCCAAGGTCCCTTCCAGCCCTAATGTCTATGAAACCTGGCAATAGTATCGCATCCTGCTCACGTGAACAGTACAGCTATCTTTTTGTCTTAAGTCCTGAGGACCAGATTCTGATGGCTCTGCGTTGACTCCTAAAAATAGACCTAGTTCCTGGTTCTCCCAAGTGGCTGACAAAAGGCATCTGAGTCACGATCTTCATCTTGCAGGAGGAGATTCATCTGCTATGGAGGGGGAAAAAAAGGCTGAGCGTGCTGCTCCCTTCTAGCTCTGGCTTGAGTAAGAACTGGTTACCAATTAGACAAGTGCCTGTTTATCACCACCTCAATGGGGTTGAGCTGGGTCTTACTAGTGGCCTCAAGTGACCTGAGCATTTGATGGCTCAGCCCTGGTCTGTGAAGGTGGGTGGTCTCTGGTCAGTGTTTGGGAAGCAGTCTACATGCTGGTCAGAGGCTGCTGGTGGACTAGGCCTAGATAGTGACTTGCCACCCACTTGGTGAACGGGCTCTTGGCAGGTCTGGGGCAAGGAAGCATAGAGGAAGTGCTGCTTCTCTGCTTGCAACTATAGTTGGGAGCCTTCCCATGGCAGAGCTGTCGGGCTGGTCCACTGAATGAATTTAACCAAGAAAGGGGCGAAACAAATCCTACAAGCAGGCACCCTGCCAAAGTGGTCTCTTGCCATCTCTACCCAGCAGGCCAGCTTAGCCTGTGCCTATTGCTTTTTTTTCCCTGCACCTCGGCTGTGAATCTTGCTTAAAAAAATTGGCATGCCCAAAACATAACCTTAACTCTTTTGTACCCCCTTGGTTTCTAGATGAGGAGCTGAGCTGCAGGAGCAATGGTTACAACCCCCTAAGGGAGCTGGTGTAGGACTCGGTGAGACCCCAGACACCTCCAGATCCTGGCTTGCAGCTCCCTAGAGCCACCCTTTGCTATAAGAAGATGCTTTTTCCTCCAATTTTTCTCATTTTCTTCTTAAGGGGACTCTCTTTTGCAGCAAACGTGCTGGGAACACACAGCTCCTCACCACAGGCAGCATTGTGGACTTGGGACTGCTTTGATGGGGCATCGTGGCAAGTCTGTTACCGTGTGGCTTCCTGCTTGAGCATGGGAGGGTCTACATCTGCCCTGCTGCTGTGTCTTTTGGTCACCAAGTTAGTGTTGCTTTGTAGGTGCAGCCCAGCTCCGGTCCGGGCAGGTGCTGAAGCCGGCATAGAGGGTGCCTGGTCTAGACCCTGTTTAACGCTCTAGAAAGCTGCTAGTTTTGCTGCTAAACAGCTCAGCTGTGCAAGGCTCAGGGTGACCATGGTCTTGCTATAGTAACTCCCAGATAGGGGGAGCTGGGCCTTGGATAGCTATGGCTGGAGGCCGCATGGGTAGCTGCACGCAGTGCTGCATGCTCCGAACAAATGCTGTGGTGCCGGTCTCTTTCTACCAGAATAAATCTCTTGCTTGGTGTAGGGGACACCAGCATCACAGCGGGTTGTCCCAAAAGTTCAGTAGACCCTGGTCATAGCCGGGCCATGGTACCTCTTCCCAACCAGTAGAAGCTGAACCTCAGCCTTTGCCCCTAGATTTTCCCTTCAGTCACTGTGCATGAAGCTTTCTAGTAACCTGTGGCTGAGTAGAGGAGGGAGGTTCTCTCTGCATCTTCCTCCCCTCTGTTTGTTTGCCCCACCACCCATTCCTGTGTCTAGGTCTATTCAGCAGTGATGGCGATCCCTTATGGTCGAGGATGATCGCTCCATGGGTCAAGTTTCTGGGTCTATGATGGGCCTCCTTGTGACACAGTGAAGCCTTGAGGCCTTTTGAGTTGGCATTTCATTTGGCCCTGCTCCCTGCCAACCTCGGGAAAGCTCTGTCATTGCCATTGCCTTGCTGCTTGTACCCGCTTCCTATGCACGTGCTGCTTTCCTGCACCCTTTGTTCCCTCCACTGCATACAAGCCACTGCGGCTGGTTTGTAGCTGCTGCACTACAGCCCAGCCAGTGACTCACCTGCCTTTCCATCTCCCTTGAAAGTGCTCTGACCCCCCAGCTCTTGCCCTACTGGGCTCTCCTCCCTGCTCCCCCCTGGTAGTGCTGCTCTGTCTTCAGAAGCTGGAGTAGAGGGATCTCAGGCATCCTTTTACATTTCAAGATGGTTCATGGCCTTTTGTCTTGCCTCTTGCTCTTTTCTCCCTCCCACTGCAGGCTGAATGGAATGATTTCAGGGGCGAGAGGAGCTTGCTGAGAGTCTTTGCATTGGTTGGGGCCCATGCAAATATGCAAGGAATTTGCCATAGCAATTCCTAGCTCCTGTTCTCCCTCAACTTCCTTAGCTTTGCTAAAAGCTGCCTTTTGTTCCTGGTGCCACAGCCTGCAATTATAATACCCAGCATTATACAGTGCTTTTAATCTGCAAAGCACTTTGCAAGCATTAGCCAAGTAGTCTATTTGTTCTTATGCTCTATACAAGTAAATTCCACCCCCTTCTCCCCTGATTTTTGTATTCAGTTTTAGGCAGTGATCATTATAATAGGCCATGGGGAAAGCAGTTTCTACACATCTGAGCACGGTGCTGGGAGCTAAAATCTGCTGGAGTCAGAAATGAGAGAGTTGAGCAAAACCCATTAGATCAACCTGAGCCAGATTCGCTTCAGGATGTCAATCTGTGCTTTTAATGCCATCTCCTCATGTGGCCTTGAAAATGTCACTTGACAGTTGTTCTGCATCTTTACCACCTT